GCTAAATCTTATTTCAAGTTTAAAATAAATTTTTGCAGTTGAAATAATTAACTATCTTTGAAAAATCGACTTCATCTAATTTTCTACAATATATTTTGAACATACAACATTACTCTACGAGACTCTATTCTATAGATTTCAACAAGAAACCTTATCGCCACATTATTTCGCAAGAAAGAGAAACTGCGTGATGCAGTTATTCGTTGTTTGCATTGCTAGTTCTTCCATCTATTATGTTACTTAAAAAAAACAAGAAGAGAAGCATTTCTCTTTTTTTTCAACATGCTGCATAGTAATTCTCTTTTAAAAATGTTTAAAGTGTCCTTTCTCCATTTTTCTGTTTTTGTCTTCTTATAAGAATTAAAATAATATCAAGTATTTTTTTGCTCATCGCTGCTGTCTATTGTACAGGTGTATATTTTGAGACGACATTCGCTGTTGTGAGCTACTGATCAAAGTCACCAATCATGTATGGTTTTTTTTTAATTTTGCTTGCTCTGCGTTATACATATACAAATAAAATGAAAGAACGAGAAAAAAATGGCCATGAACATTATAAAACAAAAAACACGCAAAAGCATGTGATAGTTATTTATTTACTCGGAGTAAAAAAAAATGTTTGTGCAGTTTGTTTTATGTCGTTGGAAAATATTTTGTTTTTTTTATAGTGAATCATCGTTCTCATATGACCAAGGTCAAAACTTTGTGTAGTTGATTTTAAATCACGAGCTGATATATACTATTTTTTTGAAGAATCATTTGGAATGCAAATGATATCTTTTGTTGATTTAACCCATTGATATGATGAAGTTCATAATTCTAAAGATATTGTTGATCCTGTAGCAAATATTCTTGCATTAACTAATGATAGATCCTGTTCGATTGACCAATTATTGATAATATTTGAAGAAATTGTTAAAAATCTTGATAAAACATGACGTTCTCGAAATATTCCATCATCTTTGATTGTTTTGTTTGTTGCTTCTAAAGCATTATTTGTACTTGGTGCGTATAATTGTAAACCTTCGTACCAACCATTGTTTGACTTTAGCCAATCAGAATCAAAATAATTCAAAAAATCTAATATTGTTTGATTTTTTTGCTTTATATTCATATTTCATTTTTTTATTA